TTGCTAGAAAGAGCATTGACTTCAACTAATATTTTAAATGTCCAAAATGCGAACACTTTAAATTATTGTGAATTCTAATTTTAAAGCAAGAAGTGATAAATGATAAATTAGATTCGTACTTATATGTTTGCTGCAAATCACCACTTATTAATTCGCAATGATTTACGGTTGTGATTGAATCTAAGCACTGATTTTGAGAAGAAATATGATCTGACAATCTTACTGTATTAATAAAGTGAAGTTTTGTTGAAAGAGTAAATTTTTGAAAATCACCGTGAGATAACTAATAAAAAATAGACAAATAAATAATATCGTTGATACACTTAGGTGTGATATACTTTGTGTGAGAAAAATTTCAATGCTGATATTCACTTAAATTCTTATTAAAGGGAATGAATGCAATGTGAGAAAAATCGGTTATCAAAAATAATTTTTTCATAATTTATTTCTGGAAATCGATTTTGATAGTTTGCATCATTAAAATTTTAATGCAATTTATTAGTAGTGCACTGTGGAAGATTACATATTGATAAAAATATTTCTACGAAATGAGAAAAATGAATGAACAGAAGTGGAATTTTTGAAAGTGGAAAAAAGATCAATTGGTTTTTCTACTAATTCATTTTTTTTTAATTGGTTTTTTACTATGTTTTAACTATGTCAATGTCATGTTGTATGCTGTCATACAGTTAGTTGACAATAATAACTGTATAAAGGAGTTTGATTAATTTACATTTATTTTTCTGACTTTATGATATAGTTTTCTGGACATTTCTGTATAATCTGCTGGAATTGATTGTTCGTCTTCCCAAAACCCGAGTAGGTATTCAATCGAGAGAAGATGAAGATATGATAGCCATTACTCATATGATATTCCACAAGAGATTAACTTAACTTAACTTGATTCATGAAATTACATTGATTGAGTTATTTATGTGCAAAAAGAATAAATACATTCTATTAGGCTTTTAGAGGTATAAAATGCTAAATGCTAAAATACTAAATTTATTGTAAACGGTTTCTAAACGTCGTTGAGTTATTTCTTTGTGTCTTTGTTGGGAATCATAACGTCATGACAGTACAGTAAGGATATTTCACGTATAAGGGGTAAACGTAAAGAAGACATGCTTTTTGGTCCAGCAATGAGGAACTGGCAATTGATTGAAATTCAATGATAAAGTTAAGGCCACGTTATGATATTATGAGAGGCAGAGAATTTTTGATGAAGAATTGCAAAGTAAATTATGAAAGCGTACTGTATTTATATAATTTGATATACAAAACTTACATAAAAATGTTCAAACACATGAACTTAACCCAAAATAGACACATTTTTTACTTTGGCGATAAATATTGAAAGTTAATGAACCCAAAAGTTAGTGTGTAGGATAAAAAAATGTTAATAACCATATGAGATTGTGTCAATATACATTTGGGAGAATGTGAAATACGTGACGATAAAAAGCCGCTTGCAAAAGAAAAAGAAATATTCAGTCTTGCATATAGCAAAGATTGGTGAATTTCATTTGTATATTTGAAAATGCCTACAACCATACCACGTTGAAAGCACAATATTTCGTCTCATCTGCCAAGTTGGATCGGTGATCTAGTTAGTACTTAGAGTCTAGGAATCACAAGTTTGTGCATTATCGATGCGTTTGAGCAATGACATATCATTTTCGAACATATCACATTGAGTGATTTTTGTTTCATCTGTTTGCTGAAAAACCTTTGTCTCTCAATCATCTGATTAATGTTGAACAAACGGCAATTATGTGAGAATTATGCAGGTGAAATCGTTAATTTAATTACTCGAGTTTAAGGTAATTGAATGTATCGGCCAGAATTTCAGCTTCTGTGGCTTGGAGAAAATTTTCGGAACATCCTGAAATTTTGTGTGACAAGAAATGTGCTAGTAAAAATGGAATACTTTCATGTTTCATCATGTCTATATACAGATGCATATTTTGGAACATTCAATTACCTCCAATTTGGGTAATTAAACGGACGACTCTACTTGCATCATTCCCATATAGTTGTTGTGTATTTAACATTCATCAGATCATTTTTCGGCAAAAAGTGCTATGAACCATTTTTCATCACTGTATTATGGCTAAAAAAAAACCAAAAATATGTCTACAACACCTGGGATTCCCAGGCCGTCTCCGATCCAAGTACTAACCAGGCCCAACGTTGCTTAACTTGACAGATCGGACGAGATGTCGTGCTTTCAACGTGGTATGGTCGTAGACTATTGTTACAAATATGTTAAAGAATAAATCACATCGAATCGATAATAGCACACATTTATTGTAGCGATCATTTTTACTTCACTTCAAGCAACATTTGCTATTCAAGAATATTTCAATTGCTAAATTTACATTATCATTTTCACACAATCATCAATTACCATCCATTAAATACTAACATTCAAATATATTATTGAAAGATTTGCAAATAGAAAATCAAAGTGTATATATATTGGTGTGTATATAGACATGATGAAACATGAAAGTATTTCATTTTTACTAGCACATTTCTTGTCACACAAAATTTCAGGATGTTCCGAAAATTTTTTCCAAGCCACAGAAGCTGAAATTCTGGCCGATACATTCAATTACCTTAAATCCGAGTAATTAAATGGACGATTTCACCTGTATAATTCTCATATAATTGCCGTTTGTTCAACATTAATCAGATGATTGAGGGACAAAGGTTTTTCAACAAACATAAAACAAAAAATTCTCTTCTCAAACGCATCAATAACACATAAACTCTGCAAACTGTTCGTATATTGTTTACACAGGATCAGTTCCTCATTTAGTTGACCTCATGATGGTGTCTTCATTAATTGTAAATTATGTTTGAATCTGCGTGGTTAACAACTTCTGCTTAACCAACATCCTTTGCGGCTTTCAACTAGTAATTAGATTTGCTTGTAAACCAGGTCAACAGCTCTTTGTTAGATTGATTACTCTTCCGGTAGGTCAGCTTCTTATTGTAAATCATGCACTTTATTTATGCATATTGCTTGCTATATAAGGAGGTCATTCATGTTTAATAGAGAGAGTGTTTTTACCAAGAACCAGAAAAATTCAACCAAGAGAGAGCTCAACTACAAAAGGGATTTTCGTTACTTGCATTTCAACTTTTCTCTGTCAAGTTTATTCTACTATTGCTTATGCTGATAAAGGAATTATTATATTTCTGGTTACTTCTATTGTTATCTAGATCCAATGAATCTCCCCGAGACCAGTAAACCGGATGGGCAAATTAGGATTCTGTTGTTTAAAAGGAAGGTAAACTCAGTTCAGTTAGTCTTCCTTGTTGGTTGTCAGCTCTTCGTTCAATAAACTTCGTTTGTTTGTCAGCTTTCACTGTAAAGATGCGTTTGTTGCAAGCTATTGCCCACATATAAGGTTTAAAACCTTGGTTAATACTTGGATATATTGAATTCTGGTTTGAGGTAATTTACATTTGTCTAATATTCAAATATATTTAATGTTATAGATTTAATACAAATTTATTTCGACATATTAAAATTTCATTTTACGGACATCTTTCGTTATTGCTGTGAAAACAATAGTTCATATTTTGAGTATACTGAACGTATGAAAGTGTGTGAAAATATGGAACTTCTACATTATTTCATTCAATTTTCAATTCATCAATTTTAATGGCATTTTTTTTAGAAAATGTATTAGCAAAAATCCATTTCTTCAGTTCATATCGAATTTAATATTTGGAATGTTTCCAAAATTTTTTTGAAAAGCATGCATGCAAAACTAATTTTTTGATTTTGTAAATAAAAAATTCATGAAATCCATTAAAACATTTATAACTTCGCAGCAAATTATTAGTTTTCAATGTTTATGAGAAGCTATTTTTGATAGAATTTGTCTTTAGACAGTTTTTGCAGAAAAAAACATATATTAATGACAATGAGTTGAAAAAAAAATGAGGTTTGACGTAAGGGATTCAGTAAGATATGATAATCTTTTAAACAACTTAAATAACTCGAAATTTTCAAACATAAATATTCCTCAATTTTGAAAAAAAATTATTACAAATAGTTGTGAACAAACTAATCATGTGTTGCAATAACTTCATTTGCTTTGCTTTGTTCAAAGGTTAATTTAATTTCAGGTGACTATAAAAATGATATTTTCATAGAATTAATCATCCAATAATTTTCGACGTTCCATCATTACTACGAAAAATCCTATCAGAAAATTCCACAAAATTTTAAAATGATAAGCAAAGTATATTATCAAATTGTCATGAAAGTTTGCAAAAATAATGAATTAATTAGTAATGAGGAGAAATGATTAACATTTGCTAGTAAAACTTTCAATTATTACATTAAAATTTATGTTTTTTTTTTTTTATTTTCACTGAAACTTTTATATTTATTAGTGTGGAAACATCATCCTTTATTTATTATTCATTATGTTATTATTTTCAAACATATTAAACTTTCACTATCCAAAAAAAAAAAGCTAATTTCTAAAAAATAACCAACTCAAAAAAAAAGTGATTTATAAATACGGTGATAAGCAATAACAAATTAATGAATACAAACAACATTTATTAGTTATTGAAATTGGAATACAGCAAAATAGAGTTAGTTAGTTATACGATAATAGTGAAATGAATTTGAATGGCAAATAGCAATTTTATGAATGCAATGCAAGATGCGTTGGATGATTGATTGCAAATTGGTTGCAGCAGCAGACACTAAGTGGGAATGATTGAAAGCAATGTTAGACTTTGTTAATAGATTATGCAAAAATAAGCATGCATATGTATTGCATAGCAACCAGTACGATTTAATAATGCATGCATAGCAAGATAGTAATTTATGCATAAAAAGTTAATAATGCAAACAGCAAGTTAATGAATACATTTATGCATACATTGCACTGTAAAAGAATACACGTTGATTTCATTGTTTTACAGGTTTGGATGATTGGAGTGACTGATTTTGCTTGCAAAGTGGAATGTTTTATTGTCGAAGACGATTCAGGAAGAAAATAAATATTTTCAATGCCTTCATTATCGCAGGTCATAATTCGAAATTTTAAAATTTTTGTAAAGAAACTTTGCATTAAGAATTTCATATTTTGAAAAAGGAGATTTTGAAAATTAATAGGCTTAAATTGATCTTGTCATAAACTCAAGCTAATTTAATTTAAAAACTTATTTTAAGTCCATTGATGAATAACCATTTTATTTATGCTGGTTTAAACTTTGATAAAGTAAAAAAAATTAGTCTCAGATTTTTTATTTTTTTTAAAAAAAATTTTAAAATTTTCAAAATTTAACTAAATTCTAAACTGAACATAATAAAAACTTCGAGGAAAAAAAAGGCGTTTTAATAATGTATTTTAATAGTATAACTGTTGCAATAATTCATCACGGGAAAATGAAACAATATAATTATTTTGATCGGTAGGTTTCCTATAATTTTACGTAAGTGATGAATATTTAGAACTTTTTTAATTACTGGAAAATTTAAATGAATGATAAAGTTAATAACTTTACAATAAGAACTTTATCAGTTTCCTATAAAATTTGATGTTTCAAAGGTTTCCTTAAATTCAATTTTAGCGTTGTTTATTGTTTTGCTTCATCAGATGTCTAGCAAAAACGATCACTTGCGTGACTTAAGTGAATTTTGGGCTAACGTTAATATAAGCAAAAATTTCACTATGGAATTTAAAGATGAATCGATCAAATCGTCGCTTCTAATACTTCCTAACGTAGAAGCATGCAAACGTTTGTACTTTGCATATATGCTTAAACCACCAATTCAATTCTCAGTGATATAATTTTGAAAGGAAAAAAAGAATTACTCATTTACTAATTTTATTCTAATTGACAGTTTTTAAAAATTTTTTCATTTCTTTTCTAATTTACAAATAATCGTACAAGTTGAAAATAACTGTGTTTATACTACTAAGTATTTAAGTTATAAGTCTTAAATAACAAGCAAGCAAGAATATATGAAGTCAAGCAAATGTTTATGTTCTAATTATTGTTATTATCAATGCTAAAATTTCTTTTTTGTTTAGAAGGACCAAAATATCTGATAATAATCATTTCAAGGACAGAATCGCTAAATGTTCGTAATGCAATACGAGATACGTGGCTTAATGCTAGTAATTCAAATAGTTTGAAAGTATGTAATTTCTTAAAAAAAAAAACATTCAAAAAGAGGAAAATATTTTGTCAAGAAAGGATAAGTAAAGACATCAGAAGGAAAAAATAATTTTTAATTCTCTAAACAATGCATAAAATTATATATGTTTGTTTCTTTTTTTTATTTTTTTAATTTTGAAGATTCTTTCAATATTTTTATAACTTTTGAAGTATGTCACAACTTTAATGAAGCAAAAAAAGCTGCGTTAATAATTTTAATGAATATGTTGATATATGGTTAATTATTTAAATTTACTTAAAATATTTATGTAATAGTATTATGAGTGTTGCAATTCGTTATTATCCATTAAATTCAAAATGTTTTTTATAAGATAATAAGAAATTCGAAAAATATAGAAAATATCGCTCTATTGGCTTCTTTTTATTGGACATCAATTTCAAATTTTATTCATTCATTTTTATAGAATGGATTTGTTGTTGCATATTTTCTCGTAGGCATACAGCATGACATTACGGTGATGATGAAAATTATTGAGGAAAGCAAGAAATACAATGATTTAATTGTCACATCAATTACGGATAATTATAACACTCTAACACTTAAGGTTATATTACATAATTTAAAGTTGAGTTAATTAAGTTTATTATTTCTTATTCGTTTTTTTAAATTTCTGCAAGCAATTTTTTTTTTTTTGAATTTTTAAAAATGAAATTTATTAGGTTTACACAGCGATGTATTTCAAGCATATATACTGTGAACATGTAATGTATTATATCAAAGTTGATGATGATGTCGTGCTTGATCTGGATCGTCTTAATCAGCAAGTTAATTCATTTTCAAATTTAGCTCATATTTATGGAGCTATACGTTACAAGGATCCCGTCATTAGGCGACGTATGGATAAATAGTGCGACATTTTTCTCTTTTTTTGTGTTTCTGTGTGGGTTTGTATTTTAATTTTGGCAAAATTTTATAAAAATTATCACAATGAATATATTTAAAGTTTAGTAATTTTGTCGCTTTTTTTTTATTTTTTTATCAAAAAAAAAATATAAGAAAAAAGAAATTTTTTTACTAAATGTTTTTTTTTTATTTTGTTGTAATAGAATTTAAGTATTACAATATTAAATTAATTAAATATTTGATGTTTTAGTTACATGCCTTATGAATGTTATTTACGAAACTTTTATCCACCATTTGCGCCTGGTATGATGTATATTATACCATTCGGAGCATTCCAAAAAATATGGCGGACATTACCGACAGTTATATGGTTAAAATTGGAAGATATTTTTTATACCGGAATTGTTGCGGAAATTGCGGATGTTAAACGTGTTAATATCGATTTCATGTATTCCGCAGATAACGTTCAGGTTAAAAGGATTCTACAGAAATTCATCATCTTGAAATGAAAAATTGTTTAAAATTTGAAGTTATTTCAAACTTGCCAGATCTGAATAAAAAATACTGGAACGATTTCCTAAAATATTTTGATATTATATGAAAGAACTATTCGAAATTTATTTTGTTCTCAACGTAAAAATAGTTACAAGAAAGACTCCTTCATAAGAAATTAAAAATTTTCTTTTTTTCCAGAGTTTACCAGATCAATGGGAATGTGATGAATATGGTCGACCAAAGCTTGTCGCAGCATCATCATTTCCTAGCGCTGATGGCTTACGCAAATTCCACAAAAAGTTACGCGAAATTAAATGTTTAAAATATAAATATACTAATTTTAATTTCATTGAAATACTTTGGCAAAAATCTGAAAAAACTATATCCAATTTATATACTTCATTAATTACTAACAATATTTACAAATTTAGAAGACTAAAATTCTATATCACATAAGAGAACTAAATTATTATACTAACCCAATTTCACATTTCTTATGATACAACAACACTAATCATTCTACTTCTACTTAAGAGAGAATTCTATTGCTATTTAACAATAAAAAGAGCCAATTATTTGATTGTTACAAAACGTTGTAAGTAAAATCTTCCAACAAAATTACACCATGTAAAATTGCAAAGATTAATTTTACCAATCAATAATTGATAACGAATTTTATTAAACAGTTTCAACAAATAAAAAGGAAAAGCAGCAAATATCATATTATCAAAAAGGAATATACACATATATATATTGAATAAAAAGTGAAAAAAAGCAATCAATCAATAATGCCATCTTTAAACTTTACATACTTTCGGAAAAGAATAAACCATTCTGTTATAATTTGCATCCATAACAAATAATGGCGTGTTACTAAGCTCTCTGTAAAAATTCTTTTTTAAAGAAAAAAAGAAAATTGACAGTGTGTAAAGAAAAAACAAAAATATGTTAGCTTTTGGATGCAAACGAAAATTTGAATGATTGAAATGATTAAATTAAATAAATAATGATAACATCAACATATTGTATGTGACATTAGCATTAAATTACAGTAAGCTTTTGGGGATAATTTTTACATCAAATTTGATGTTATTTTTATTTTTTTGAAATGTAATCAATAATTATAAAAAAAAAAAAAAAAAACAGTAAAACAATATTTCACGAATGTATGAATGGAAGAAGCAAAAATATTCGATTCAAAATGATATGCATATTATTCAAAGCTATTTATGATAAAATAGCATACTTTTTTTTTTTTACAAATTTTTATGCAAAATATATCACACAATTCAAAACTCAAAATACCATCATAAAACTGAATGAAATCATGATGATGATGATGATTACAATGATGTGTAATTTAATTGCAAGTATCCCACATAAATTTAATTTCAAAGTTAAAAAAATTGAAATTCATCATAAAGTTAAAATTTTCATACATCCCATAGCTTAATATACTAAAATTTTCACAAAATCAAGCTACTTTTATAAGTGTGATGATATTCGTCGATAGACAACGCGATGATCGTTAATAACCGGAATGCCAGTTTCATCATTGACAGTACTCCACCACTGTGATCGGCATGAACGATCAAGAACTGCCGTATTTTCATGCTCAACAAATTTGATCGGATGCAATCCAAATGATATTACCTGCAGTTGGAAAAATAATATACAATTTCTATCACACTACCACTAACTTTTATTAATAAATAGAGCAAATGAAATAGAAAATAAAAATGAATGAAATTGGATATTTTTCGATGCATCTAAATTCTTCCCCACTAGATTATTCATCGATTGGAAAATGAAAGTTATCATAAAATTCAATTACATTCTTTCATATGGTTTGAGATGAATTTCATGCAAAATAAACCTACCGATAAAAAAAATTAATTAAGTTACATTATAGGCAATAAAATATGCATCAGTGCATGTTTTTTTTTTTTTTTTTTTTAAACTCAATACAAAAGAAGAAAAAACAAACTTTTTGGCATAATTTCAATTCACTTCGATCAGCTAATCCACGTTGACGATGTTCCACAAATGTAAACTGATTATTGAAAAATCCGGAAGCGTCTAGAACGGTAAATGATACCAATGTTCCATCATGACTTTGAACACCAACTGATGGTAAACGACGAATCTTTGCTTCAAATTGATCACGTTCACCATGTGTTGAAAATTTCCAACAGTTTGTTATCGTATCAGCATGACGCTATAATAAAGAATTTTTTAATGGTTGTAACAGAAAAAAAAAAACAAACTGTACTGTTATTTGGTATGAATTTAATACTTTATTAATATAATTAATTAATAATAAACAAACCTTTGGATCGAGTTCCATAAATGAATAACCTTCAGCAAGTTTAATATCCATATCGATAATCTGCCTTTGCTTATGTTTATCTATGATGAAATAACTGGAGAGATAGCTTGGAGCTGAGAAATCAAAATGAGTTGAAAGTAGTTCAGTCATTCGACTAAAATTATATGAATAAATTAAAAGAAAAAGCAAATTAATTATAAATTCTTTCAAGGATTTTAAAATCTTAGAAATAAAAATAAATTTTTAAATGTAACTAAAATTTCTTTATATCTTTTTTAAATTTAAAATATTTTATTCATTAAAATAACTATGAAATAATAAATTAAAAGATAATAAATACAATAATAAATTTCAATAAAAAAATTGAAAAAAAAAACCTGCTCAAATGTATGCCAAGAATTCGGGCAGAAAATTGATCTAATTTGAGTAGATGTGGAATTGTATGAATGAAAAATGCGTCGATATCGTCGATATCGATAAAATGTTGCATACGACTGCATACGAACACGTGCGCCCTAAAGTAAGCTCACCTGTATACATCCATCTCCTTTTTCCTCTTCGATCACCTTTTTCCCCTCATCTCTCCTTCCTGCTCCTATATTCATCATCCATTATTTTCACGAATTCACGTCAATTATACACTCCTCCTTTTTCTCCTTTGATTTCTTTTCCTTTTTCCGCTGTTCCCATTTTCTTCACTAAAATCAAATGCCTATTCGATCAAACATAACTTTTGAAAACCTTACGTAGTTTTATTCTATCTAAAAGAAAATAAAAATAAAATAAAGAAAAAAAACCTCCCAAAAAACCAATAAAGATAATAATATCAGAGGAAAAAAAAAAAAGATATACATGTATGCATAATATGAAAATAATAAAAATGAAAATGTGCAAATGTTTTCATTTATCAAAATATAGGAGAAAAAACAAAAAGGAAAAATTTCATAAAACATTATAAACTAAGTTATATAAAAATATCTGGAAAATGTCTCATAAATTTAAAAATTGAATTATACTTTCTCCCTGCAAATAACCTTGTAAACTTGTTGCGTCGTATCACCATCCATATAAATGGCGATTTTTCCGGATATCCTAGTATTGTACACTTTGCTTCCGGAAAAACGCCCAAACGTTCATGTCGAATGGAATAATGTATTGGTAGGAGAAAAACTGAATCACTGGTTAACAGTTCGGCTTCCTTTAGTTCGTTACCTGTTTCAAATACTCTTAGCATTCCAATTTAGAAGTAATCTAAAATATCAAAATCTTATTAATATTAAAACTATGAAATAATCCAGAATTAGTGAAAATTTGGGACTTTAAGTAATTATATTACTCAGATATGGCAATATAATCGAACAGTTATGGAACATAAATTAATTAAACGATTTTACAAGTCGGAAAAAAGGAATAAATTTTACCATTTCCAATATTTCTATGATTTTTCAAAATTTGAAAATATAATTTTGTAAAATGCTGACAAAGAACGAAAAAAGAAATTTGTATAAATTAATTCATAACTATTTTGATTTAATCGTAACATAGATATCAATTATCAGTTAATGAGTCCATAATTTTAATTATTAGCTCATTTTTTTTTTACTTTTTTAAAAGAATTTAGCAACAAAGTAAGATCTAAAATTAAAGTTAAAAAATTGAAGCTGTTTAATTTAGCAATTAATTTTCACAACAAAACTAATAAAAGAAATTTTCGCAGTGGACGCAACGATTTTTTTTTCTTTAAAAAAAAGTATTAAACAAACAATGAGTAATTAAATGGAGGAAAACAATTGAACATTCATCGAGTGATACTACTTTTTGAACCATTTTAAAATTATTATTGATATTTTCAATTTCAGATATTTTCTCCAACTTCATAAATTACAAAAAACTGATCAGTAAATAAAAATATAAAAGTTATAAATGAGAAATAGGGAAAAAAGAAGACATTCAATAATTCTCTAATAAAAAAATTTCTACTTTAAAAAAGAACGGTCAATTTCATTTATGTTTTTATTACTAACATTAATTTTGAAAAAATAAAAAAAACCGCGGTAAATTTTTTGCAAAATATTTTTTAAAAATTTTATAATTTATATAATAAATCTAATTGTAAACAAAAAAAAAAGATCTTTCACGATTAGAAAAGATAAAATTATTGAAACAATATTTTACTAAGAA